AAACCATAAGCATAAATCCCATTTGGATTAGCATCAAATAAACGAACCATAAATCAAACAACATCAAATAACAAATTAAATAGTGAACACCAACGTACCAGCTTTGGTCATCCCAATACCACTGTCGATAATGGTCAATGTGTTGCTGGCTTTGTCAGGGATGATATGGATGAAGAGCTCTGGCTGGCCATCGAGCTTGCTCTTGTCGGTCAAGCTCTCAAATCTGATCTTATCAAGAGCCTGTATACATAACATAAACAAATAAGTAAAAGAGTGCCAATTTCATCTATCTCAACAAAAGAAATCACAATAAAACAAATACATAAAAATATTTAACTACACAATTTCCACACCTTTAAAAACCAAGATCACTATTTGTATGAAACTCAGTAACATATAAAAAATTTATACCCAATTGAACTTAATAACTGGCTTTAAGGATGAATTACACAAGCCCAGAATATATCAAAATCCTAACAATAATCGAAACCCGGAAACCCTTAATCACATATTCTACAGTATTTTCAGGCCATAACAAGATATCTAACCCAATATTCTTTCTACAGTAATCGAAAAGTTCAGATAAACAGAACAAATCTACATACTTTAGCATCTAAATTAACATGTTCAGATCTCTAATCTAACCTAAACAGAATCAATCGCAGAATCTAAACGCCCCAATTCCAAATGCAAACATACAGCAAAACGATTCATATAAGAAGCCACAAAAACACCGAAACTGAAAGCAAATAGAACATCAAAGGATCGAAGACTCACATCAGAGGCATTGCTGATGAGCTCACGGAGAAAGATCTCCTTGTTGCTGTAGAAGGTGTTGATGATCAAACTCAGAAGCTGGTTGATCTCAGCCTGGAAGGCAAACGTCTCAGCCTCCGCCATTGATCTCGCGTAAAAGGATTTTCTGCAGATCTAGGGTTTTGGAGACGACGTCGTAAAGAGAAAGGGAGAGCGTAGGAGAGAGTGGTTCCTGGAGTGAGGGAGGCGTGGGATTATATAGGAGACTTGACTAGGGTTTCTAGATCCTTCGATTGCTATTTTTCGCCAATTAATTGGATCTTATTTTTTTATAGGAATTTTCGGGGTCCGGTTCGCGTACGGGTTGGGAATTCCTGTTCCGTTAGACCTGGGCTGTTGCGGTGCCACGTGTCGGGTCTAGACTGTTCGAATTTGAGGGCTTCGGCTTTTTGTGTTGACAAGTTGCCCCAATAAGAGAATCAAAGAGGAAAAAGGGAAGTTTGAATCCGAAACTTGCCAAGAAGTTCACGTTTGAATGATTCTTCTCTTTTACTTTTTGAAAAACGATAGCCTTAGTGACGAAGAAATTTCGACTAGAGTACAAAATTTTGGTAGAGTATGTCCCTTATAACAAGAGATTTTTAGGTGTACATAGAATATAAACACATACGTTATATATTATTATATAAGTTGAGAACGCTTAAAAAATAATTTTCACCACTGGTATATAATTTATGACGTAAAATCCTATATTCCTGGTACATTGAAAAACTTCTCTTTATAACATAAGTTCCTCAAATTAAACTATAGAATCACCATTATATAACCTTAACTTGGCGAGGTGACAAATCGCTCCCTTACAATTATGAGAAATATACAAAATACTATACTCTTGTGACTCAGAAGTCAGCTCCTTAATATCATAAGCAACAAAACCTAGAGTCGAAGGGTCATTTGCAGAGTCAACCTTGTTGGTGTGTAAAGGGTGCCACCCAAAATTTCTTTACATGTACACATATACATATAAATATATTAAATGTGCTAGAGAACGCCAAAGTTATCTCAAAGGGGGTAGTGCTTTGGGCTTCCTACCATTTCACCTAAGAGAGGGGTTCGATTCCCTATTGTTTTGCTTTGGAATTTCTAATTTTTGCATATTATAAACTTACTGAGCAGATAAATTTACACAAAAACATTCAACTTGTTTCGAACTCAAGACTTTTTGAAGATAGAAAACACTCCAATAAACACAAACTTATTTTTGGTTCACTAATTTGTAATATTTCAATTCTATTTTAAGAAATAATATAAAAAAATACACTGTTAGAAAATGAAAGGCCTCCGTCTAAATGTTGCACAAGTTCCCTAAATTCTCGAGGCCTGCCCTGGTCATTCGTACCTCCATTGCAGACAGCCACAGCCTCTTAAGAGTCAGACTCCACCTGTAACAGATTGCATCCAATCATCTATGACAGTTGCAAACGTGCTCAAATTGCAAGCAGCTCCACATGTAATACAGATGAAATCCCTTTTTTTTATTCTTTCTTTTTTCTTTTTTTTTCTTCTTTTATAAGAAAAGGATTTGGTAATTTCCAAGTACTTATAATACCTAAACACAAAGATTGCGACCTTCTTTTTCATAAGGATTTGTAATTTAAGTAGTTAACAACATTTATTAGTCTCGTAGTCAAATATTTAATAAATAAAAACCTTCTAACACTATCTAGTTAAAAAACCATTAATATGAAGGACTTGGTTGAATGATATTTTCAAAATCTAATCAATCAAGAAAATCTAATGTAGATTCATTGGTTGAAGGTTACAAAATTGTGAAATCCCAAGTTTCTTTTATACAAATCTATCATTTGACCCCAACAAAAAAAAAAAAAATCTTTTTTACGTTATTTAATTTAGTTCTTTCATGAAATACGCAATTTTCCAATCTTACTTTACATTATACTCAAACTCATTACATTTGTGATAGTGAAAATATAATTTCTTTTTATAAATAGAGAGAATATGACATCTTCGTACTTGAATTTCCGACATTAACAAAGAAAATACCACTAAATCAAAACATTCATTTGTATTTTATCATTCAATTTCATTTCATATCAATCAACATTAGATCTTAAAGTATGGTTAATTTTCTTCTTTTTGAAATTAATGGTTGATCTTTTTCACGGATATAATTATTTTCTTTTTTGCATTGACTTAGCGTTCGTTTGAAAATAGCTAAAAGCTCTTTTGTTATTAAAATTTTTGGAACCAATTCTTAGTAAAATGACAAATGAATCTTAAAAAAAAAGCCTTTTATTGTTTTATGCAAGAAGCATATAACTATTGTTTCTTGTAGGAAGTACTTTAAACGCTTTTAAAACCCAAAAACATTTACTTTAAAAACGTTTTAACTCATTTTAAAAATATTTCAAACAAAACTTAACACTATACCTACTTTTTTGTATGACTCCAAAAGAACGGTCCATATGGCCGGTGTTATATGGACATTGACACTCAGTAGGAAAATTCTCCATGCCTTCTCAAGCTCCCCACATTTTATCCGTTATCTCCAAGTTCTTCAACTTCCATTTGCCAATGGAAGCTCTCTCATTGCAAACCCTACTCCAGCTCCTCCATTCTTCTCACAGAACAATTCCAAGGTAAAAGTTTCTGCATCTTGACATATATATTTGGTTTCTCGGGAGAAACTTGCCTACACCGGAATGTCAATATGATAATATGCCAAAATGATAATATATCAAGTCATTCTGGTATTGTCGTGCGTTTCAATTTCTTTCACTTGACTATGCGTGATGGACTCGGAATACTTCTGCAGTGACCTCCTCTTTGAAGATGATAGTGTTGGATGTTAGTTAGAAAACTAAATTTATGTGATCTTTCCCACTTTACTGAATCTAAAAGCAAGTTCCTTTTCAGTCTTCACTGTTATAATAGTTCCTAGATTGCAGTGACCAAATTTTATGTCATCTGGCAATTGATATTTTGGTTTAAATTTTGAGGGAGTTGGTTGATCATGTTGTTGTTGCTTAAACCAGTTAGGTTGAGAAAGATCAATCTAAAATTAACGTGGCCAGGACCTTGCATGAACGATTTCACTCACCACCGGCGAAAACATTGCCAAGAAGGCTGTTTTTGCAGTTCATGGGATTCTGCCCAGTTCTAGCACATCTCATTTTTGCGGCACCAATGCCAGAGATAAAAGAGCCTGAAATCATTCGACAAAATTTTTTATGTCGGTCTTTGTTTGTTTCCATTTTGTGTTTTCGATTTCTACATGAAATTTAGGTCATAATTTGGGATGCAAAGGTTGTGTTGAGCTCTTATATTGGAAAATTATACGAGTCTCATATGTGATTTTTGTTTGGAAATTGAAGCATTCAGGACCGTAAAGCTTCCCAGCGGTGTCAGGATTCAACGTACAGATTGTGCAGATTAATTCATGCGACTCCAAATGATATCCGCTCGAGAATGGTTTTGGGGGCATTTGAGCTCTGAATGTTGAAAATCGGTACATCAGCATTCTCTTGTATAAAATGTCATATATATGTATATTCAATGGAGATGTATGTTTGTTATATTATATAACAAGTTAACTTGTTTAATACAAGAAAAAATAAAAATTATGTACCCGGAAACCAAGTGTCATTGAAAGTCCCGATGGAGTTTGAAACGTCATCGTTTTAAATTACAACATATGGCCCTCCTTAATATTAGGTGCAGAAATCTCTATATTTGCCCCTATTTTTAATTGATAGGTGCGAATGTTTCGGCCTCTACTTGTTCGTTTTGTGGTTATACCAATATTAATCTCTGAATTATTTTTAACAACGACTCGACATGATGGGATGGAGTAGTCGAGGCGGCAGAGAGAGGCATAGGCGCGATGGAGCGTCTTCAGGTTCAAGATGGTTGTGAAGAATCTTGATTAACTTTGACTTGCAGGATTTTAAGGGACACTAGTGACTCGTTCACTAAATTGCAATTAAAATTGGAGGAATTGAATTAATGAGGAGTTGGAAAGAAGATGAGTCAGAACTAGATTCATGTTGAAGTTTATTAAAACCTTATGGAATCGAAGTAAGATTGGTATAAATTCTATATAAACGGTTTACTAATTCATTAGAATCGAAATGAAAATCAGTGTAAGTACTAAAATGCCTTATAATTAAAATAAATTTATTTTATATATAATTTTGTGGTTAAATTCTATATACTAACTAATATGAAAAAAAAAATGTAAAAAATGTTACATAATTTACGGTCTCCAAATCAAGCCTAATCAATCTCCACATTCATGTTAGGATTGCCCTAGCCTGCAGTAGCCACGCCCCGGCCGGCTCCTTCCATATTCTCTTAACCATTGCAATAACAGTTGCCTGCAAACCATTAAATTTATGATATATATACATCAGTGCATATAAGTTTTCTCCTTCTTTATTATAAAGTTTCAAAAATAAAATCGCAAACATAATAAAACATCAAACTTACCTCTTATTGTCAATGAGACTAGTGCCCCATCATTCATCGTCTTCTTCATTGTCTTCATCGTCCTCATCATCCTCGTCGTCTTCATCGTCTTCTCGCCAGGTATTATAGACTGACAAATGAAATGCATGATAGTTAAGAATCCCAAACATCACTAATTTGAAAGTTCTCTGAATTTTAAGCGCTTCAGACAGCTGATACTTACCTGAATATTCGACTCCCTCTCTGGTGTCATGCATTTTTGACAAACGGCCATCAGAATTGACCAGACCAAACAAAATCGTTTCCTTTTTGCCACTCGCCTCAATAACTATTGCTTGGTAAAGCTTCTTTTCGTAAGTCGTGGGTTCAGCTACCTCAAAAGTTAGATAAGCCATACTAGCAAAAAAACACAAGGCATTGACTTGGTATGCCTCCACCACTCTCATAAAATGCGCTTGGAGCCCCTAAAAAAGAAAGCCATGCAGAGTATTATATTAAAACAAGTGCGCTATTAAAGATTACTCCTAAACCAGAACATGCTAACGTAAGAAATACTGCAGCAGCCATTACAAATTCAGATCCGAACCTTTACTTTTCTGATTTTCTCCAGGGCGTAACGGGCATGTATTTCAGGCCTGGGAGAAGGCAGATACATTGGAGAGAAATGACCAGGTCCAGTTTGTTTAAATAAAGGCAAGCGGAACAAGTTAGCAACATATAGACCTTATTTTATGGTCTTATATGCAAATGCACAGTTAAGTAATAAGCTGCAGCCAAGTAGCGCGCACATATATTCACATATACCATTTTGTTGTTAGGCACCCAGCGCCGCAACGGAGGTATGTAGGCTCCTGGAAGACATCAGTTCACACTCCAAAAAATAAAAGGAAAACTAATGAAAATGGTTTGAAAACTTTGAGTTTTAACGATAAGGACAAAATAAAGGGAGAAGTGAATAGCACCAGGATTGAATTTTTAGCGTAAAAATGTGATTTTTCGTTAAAATAAACAGTACCAGAAGTTTTTCGTTAAAATTCTCAAAAATAAATGAATTCCAAAAATACTAAATCTTGATAATATATTTTGCCGTCAATCATATGCCCAAATAAATAAATAATCAGAAGTCAAGGATTAAACATATGTTTGCATCATACCCGAATCAAAACCCACCAAAAAAAAAAAAAAAGAACCAACGTCAATATTTGGAGAAGAGCAGCTAGTTAAGTTTTAGGCTTAAATGACGAACGGCGGCAAGAGAAATGTCAGATCAAAGCTCCCAAAATTTATTTAGTACCCCAAGAAATCACACGAAAGCATATAGTATCCAGGGTGTAGGTTGGACAGGATGGTAATGGGGTTGATCGGTTCTGAAGTGTCATCCTCATATCCAAATTCGTCTATTTTCTCCGAATCCAAAATCGTAGAATCCTTGAATGGGTTTTTGCGTAACCCAACCTATCAGATAAAGGATTTCTCATTGGGTAACAGTTTTCCCCATTATGATATTTTTATATTTATTTATATACTAATTAGATAGTGGATTTTAAATAAATATGAGATTAAATAGACTCCTACTACTAATACAATTGATATAATGCATATAACAAATATTATTAAATATTTATACTACTAATAATTGATAAGCATATAATTTATACTATTAATGGTATAATGCATATAATTACCAGCGGACTTTCAAATTTAATAATGCATGATTATTGATAACCAATTCTCCATATAATAATATTCTTTTATTAAAACATGAAAACAGTTTCGTTTTGGTTGTGGGTTCTAGGCGGATACCATAGTAACCATAACTAAACCTAAAACTGAATAATTTACCCAACGCTGACCTGGATATGTTACATCACGCCCCAGTTGGTCCAATTCAGAACTAACATTCTGTCCAGCTTTCTTGAGTAAGATGGTAAGTTCCTTTGCGCATCCAGCATTAGCAATTGTAAAGAATGTGTATGCTGTATTGCTGTTCCCTTTGCTGCAGCACTTCCAAAACGGTCAATGTGGTAAACATAATCATCAAGGGATCCTGGAAAGTCGTAATTGATAACATATTTCACATCCTTCAGATCTGCAAATTAAGCATAAAAAGGATGATTAGAAACAAGGCTTCTGGCCATTTCACAGGATAAATGCATTCAACAAAAATTTGCCAGGCAACCCCCACAGTAAACAAACCCTAGGTTACTAACACGACATGATTTCGACTAGTAAATCAAATAAAGCCTTCAACTGTGACAAGATTGAAGAACGTAAATTTCTTTTTAAATAAAATTATAAAAGTAATGTGACGAGATTGAAGAACGTAAATTTCTTTCTAAATAAAATTATAAAAGTAATAATAGATGCAACTGTTGACCCACAACCAAAAAAGAGTTCGTTTCGAGTCTTTCACAAACTTAGAGAAATTCTATTGATACCTAGAACACTAGTGGCTACATCTGTTGCAATGATTATGGGGATCTTGCCAGCTTGAAACTCAGAGGCAATACCGACCCTTTCCGTTTTGACTTTTGTTTTCATGAAACGAGACCGCGTGCTGACCGTCCGTGCAAAGCTGCAGGGCGATCTGATCATGTGATTCACATACTTTCTTTGTATCCATGAATATCACTATTCTGCTGCCATCCAATATACGATCTAGCAGCGTAACCAACCTGAAAATTTGGAAATAATCAGAGATGTATATAACCTCAAACAAACTGCACGGGGTCAACCATTAGAATGTCCCCTACTTGTTATATTTCTGATCCTCAGTAAGGACGTAAACAATTTGGTCCACCAGAGGTTTAAATTTATTCACATTTTCCACATCACTACATTTTATGGCTTCTGGCTTCGTCACCTTTCAAGTGTCGACTAGCTTAGCTCGATTCGGAGTCCTAGTAGACATTTTGGATCGAGGTATGTCAATAACCATACGAAGGACAATATTATTATATTATTGATTTTTAAGTAATTATTATATTATAAAAATACTATTTGAATTTGTTTAAATTTCATAATGGGATATTAAATGTATAAATGCAGGAGTTAATTTTCTTAAATGATTTTAGGGACTTCAATCAAACTATTTAAACAAATTCATTTTAACAATAAGGTCAGCTAGAGACCGGAACTAAAATGATCCCTTTAGAAATAAGTGAAGGGTATAATAGGGAAAAAATAAATCCATTCCGATTCTCCAATAAACCAAGAAATTAAATACCAGCTAAACATAGGAACTCCAATTCCTCCAAATTATGGAGACAAATTTTAAAATTCGAGTGAGTCCCGTCAACTTTTTGATTCTCAATGTTCGTTAGAACTAATTCTGCATTTTGATTCGGATTACCTTTGTGCAAACGCGACATAGCAAATGAAGCAACCATTGACACCCAGTTTTGATATCAACGTCGAAATTAGTTAGTTTAGGTCTACTGAAGTATAATACATGGTCATTGGGTTTTCCAACTCTCATATCCAAACACAACCACATATTACGTAATTTACGGTCTCCAAAACAAGCCTAATCAATATCTACAGTCATGTTAGATTACCCTAGCCTGCAGTAGCCCCGCCCCGGCCGGCTTCTTCCATTCTCTTAAATTCTTAGTCATTGCAATAACAGTTGCCTGCAAATCATTATATTTATGATACACATCAGTGCAGATAAGTATTATCTTCTTTATTATAAAGTTCCAAAAATAAAATCGCAGACATAATAAAACATCAAATTTACCGCTTATTGTCAATGTGACTCGTGCCCCATCATTCATCATCGTCTTCATCGTCATCTTCCTCTACTTCATCGTCCTCATCGTCTTCATCGTCTTCTCGCCAGATACTATAGACTGACAAATGAAATGCATGATAATTAATTAAGAACCCCAGATATCACTAATTTGAAAGTTCTCTGAATTTTAAGTGCTTCAGACAGCTGATACTTACTTCGATATTCGACTCCCTCTCTGATGTCATGCATTTTTGACAAACGGCCATCAGAATTGACCATACCAAACAACATCAAATCCTTTTTGCCACTCGCCTTAACAACTATTGCTTGGTAAAGCTTCTTTTCGTAAGTCGCGGGGTCAGCGGCCTCAAAAGTTAGATAAGTCATACTAACAAAAAAACACAAGGTGAAGAATTCGTATGCCTCCACCACTCTCACAAAATGCGCTTGGAGCCCCTAAAAAAGAAAGCCATGCAGAATATTATATTAAAACAAGTGCGCTACTAAAGATTACTCGTAAAACAGAACATGCTAACGTAAGAAATAGAGCAGCAGCTATTACAAATTCAGATCACAACCTTTATTTTCCTGATTTCCTCCAGGGCGAAACGTGCATGTTTTTCAGTACTGGGGTAAGGCAGATACATAGGAGAGAAATGACCATATCCAGTCTGTTTAAATAAAGGCAAGCGGAAGAAAGTTAGCAACATATAGACCTTACTTTATGGTCCTATATGCAAATGCAAATGTGTATTACACTATGTATTAGCACAGATGGTGCATGCCATTATTTAATGTTCTTATATGCAAATGCACGGTAAAGTAAGCTGCAGCCAAGCAGCGCGTGCACACATATTCACATATACCATTTTGTTGTTAGCCTTCCAGCGCCACGTCCGAGGTATGTAGGTTCCTGGAAGACATCAATTCATATCCATATCATAAATCCAAAAAAGAAATGAATTTGAAAAGTAATAAATCTTGATAATATGTTTCGCCATCAATCATACCCAAATAAATAAATAATCGGAAGTCGAAGATTAACAATATGTTTGCATACCCGAATCATAAACCATAAAAAAAAAAAAGTACCAACCATCAATATTGGAGTAGGGCAGCTAAACAAGTTTTAGGCTTAAATGAAGAATGGCGACAAGAGATGTGAGATCAAAGCAACAAAATTTATATAATACCCTAAGAAATCACATTAAAGCATCTAGTATACAGGGTGTTCGTAGGACCGGAGGGCAACGGGGTGGATCGGGTTTTGATGACACACATCCCCATACCCAAAACCGTTTATTTTCTCCAAACACAAAACCGTAGAATCCCTTAATGGGTTATCGCGTAACCCAACCCATCAGATAACAGATTTTTCATTGGGTAACAGTTTTCCCCATTATGGTATTTTTATATTTATTAGATACTAATTAGATAGTGGATTTTAAATAAAATGAGATTAAATAGACTACTAATACTAATAAAATTGATATATATGCATATAACAAATATTTTTAAATATTTGTTACCAAGAAAATAATTATACTACTGATAATTGATAAGCATATTATTTATACTAGTAATGATATAATGCATATAATTACCAGCATGAACTTCCAAATGTTTTAATACATGATTATTTATAACCAGTTCTCCATATAATAAATGTTTATATTCTTTCATTAAAAAATGGAAACGGTTTCGTTTCGGGTAAGGGTTCTAGGTGGATACCACAGTAACCATAACTGAACCTGAAACTGAATAATTTACCCATCGCCTATAAAGGATGGACATGGATACGACGATACGACACAACACGACAATACGGAAAATCTCTAAAAATTAAGATACAATACGCTATGGATACGGCAAATAAAGATGTATATAGCAACAAATATATAATTTTACAACATAATTCATCATTCAAATTCAAGTACATTTAAGTTGTTAGAGAAGAAAAGTTCGAAATCTAATCATCTTTAAACTGTATAAGAAGTGTGAGAGTCGTATTCATGGTTTTAATTAGAGGGAAACTCTTTGTATTCAGCAACTTTCAATTATGGATGTCTCTTATTAATTTTCTCCTCCTCATTACCTTTTTTGAAAGTGTAAATGTATCCTAAAAGCCGGATACATGTATCCATCATGTCAAATTCATGTCCATCAACCAGGATACGTGTTGGATGAGTATCCGAGAGTATCGGGCAAGTATAATATCTGATCAAGTATCAAATACAGGATAAGGGACCAAACAGAAGTATCCGTGCACCATAGCCCATCGCGTGTGTATATGACAATGTGTGTACAACATTATTTAACCTAGTGTTTGTAGTTACTGACCTGGATATGTTACATCACGCCCCAGTTGTTCCAATTCAGAACTAACATACTGTCCAGCTTTCTTGAGTAAGATGGTAAGTTCCTTTGCGCATCCAGCATTAGCAGTTGTAAAGAATGTGTATGCTGTTCCTTCTGCTGCAGCACTTCCAAAACGGTCAATGTGGTAAACATAATCATCAAGGGATCCTGGAAAGTCGTAATTGATAACATATTTCACATCCTTCAGATCTGCAAATTAAGCATAAAACAGATGATTAGAAACAAGGCGTCTGGCCATTTCACAGGATAAACGCATTCAACAAAAATTTGCCAGGTTGACACACCTCAACCCCCACAGTAAACAAACAAACCCTAGGTTACTAACAGGACATGATTTTGCAAAGGGGGATGTCGACTAGTAAATCAAATAAAGCCTTCAACTGTGATGAGATTGAAGAACGTAAATTTCTTTCTAAATAAAATTATAATAGTAATAATAGATGCACCTGTTGAGGCACAACCAAAAAAGAGTTCATTTCAAGTCTTTCACAAACTAAGAGAAATTCTATTAATACCTAGAACACGAGCAGCTACATCTGTTGCAATCATTATAGGGACCTTGCCAGCTTGAAACTCAGAGGCAATACCGATCCTTTCAGCTTGACTTTGGTTTTCATGAAATGAGGCTGCGGGCAGGCCGGCTGTGCAAAGCTGCAGGGCGATCTGATCGTGTGATTCACGTCCCTTCTTTGTATCCATGAATATCACTACTCTGCTGCCATCCGATATACCATATAGCAGCGCAACCAACCTGAAAATTTGAAATAAATCAGAGATATATATAACCTCAAACAAACTGCACGGAGTTAACCATTAGAATGTCCCCTACTTGTTATATTTCTGATCTTCAGTAAGGACGTAAACAATTTGGTCAACCGGAGGTGTCACTTTCAGATCTGGAGAAACTATTTGAACCTGTTGAACATCCAAAGATTAATATCAAACATGTATTGGGTATTGCACATGAGAAAATTCGCCAAGAGTACTATTGCAATCACAAGATAGAATTAAAAGGACATTATGTGACTACCAATTTCATCCACTAACAATAATTAAAAACGAATATGTGATGGAAAAAAAATTGTAAGATATAATACTTTGCAAGCGTTGTGAAGGAATAGCTTTGCCCGTTTATCAACCTCTTCTGGCCAGCCAGTACTCCAGAATGATTTTTGACAGTCTGAGCGAATCTGTATTCAACAAACCCACAGATAGAATGACAATTTCAACTGAACATAAACTTTGATATATAAACACGCGCGCACACTCACACACGTGTGTGTGTAAGGGAATTTAAACATGCTAAAGAGTTCATCTGACCCCTTTAATGGAATCCAATAATGTTTTCCAGCTTTTCAAGAGTTTGACGTTGAAAACATAGCACTGCAGGTATGAAGAACCAAGTAAGGGTAACATGTCAAACCTCAGATAATATATTTCGTATTTGAGACTCATGCGTGTCTGATAGCATCCAATCAGCACCATCCAACACAAGGTATGTGACGCTTTTCAAGTTCGTACTTTTGCTCTTTAACAAAACAAGCAAGCTACTAAGTGTGTCGATTAAAATCCCACCTCCTGAGCCAAAATATTAAATGCAATCAATAAGTAGAATAACTGTATACTCAAACAAGAAATCCCCTTAAAATCACCACCTACACAAAATTGCACGTTACCATAACCAAAGCCTATAACAGAAAAACAAGTAGCAAACGTCCGACACATGAAAATTCAGTCACAGTAGCAAAACAGTAGCAATAGATAGTAAAATGTAGTTCACCGCCACCGCCACCACCTACCACAAGTCTGACCATAATTTTCACGTTTTAGCAGGTGCAAGCCCGATAAGACTTTAATGTTGTAAGCTGCAGCAAATTTAGCACCCTCCTGTTGGATTTGTTCAGCGCGTTGAATTGTGGGAGTCAAAATCAATACTATTGGGCCATCTCCACCACGAGCTGAAGGAAAATTATAAAATGGAAAACTTTATTCCTGATTCATATATATACATATATAACCAAATATATGATTCAAAGAGCTTGGATTTGATTATCTTAAGGATAACTAACATATATAATACTCACATCGTTTTGGCAGGGAGTTTACATGGAGAATTGCAGGGATCAGATACGCTAGCATCTTCCCAGATCCTGGTTGAGCAATACCAATGAGGTCATGGTCCTCCAAATCCATTGGCCATACTTGAGCTTGAATTGGTGTAGGTCTAACAAATCCAGCTTTTGAAAATTCTTGTATAACATTTTCTGCAATGGTCAAGAGAATTGAAGAATTCAATACATATATGTATATACATTCACATGGAAATGTATGTTTGTTATATTGTATGACAAAGCAATTTGTTTAATACAAGAAAAAAATAAACATAGGTACCCGGAAACCCAGTGTCATCGAAGGCCCTGATGGGGTTTGGAATATCATCCCAGCCTACAACACGGATTCCCCTCCGTAGCCGATACTCCTCGACGTCTTCGGGCGTATAAGAGGTGACCTCAGTAGTGATCTCCATCTTCTGGTGGTCCTGCGTATCAGGCGTGCCGCCTTGAGCAGCAATTTTCCTCCGCTGCCTCCTGGACTGCTTGACCTCGGCGTCGGTGCCTTGAGCAGTAATTTTCCTCCGCTGCCTCCTGGACTCATTGACCTCGGCGGCGGTGCCTTGAGCAGCATCGGCATCATAATGCTGTGCTAAACGTGCCGAGCGACGACAGCCTCCCGTAGCACCACCACCAACAGCATCCAACCTACTGAAACAAACAACACAAACTTATGAAGTTTTTCAATCACCTCTCGGCCGGGTAACTGCTAAGTACTAACAAAAGTTAGCAACTTTAAATTCGTACCCACAATTCCCCATCAGAGAGAGAGAGAGAGAGAGAAAGAGAGGAGTTACCTTCTTTTTGTCCCACAACGGTAAGAATTAGGGTCATCGGAGCGCTTCGCCATATTCGAGATAGCAAGTTAGGGTTACAGAGGAGTTACCTTCTTTTTGTCCCACAACGGTAAGAATTGGGGTCATCGGAGCGCTTCGCCATATTCGCGATAGCAAGTTAGGGTTACAGAATTTTGGTACCAGTTACGATCCCGTTGGAAATTTTAACCAGGTAAGATTATTTTGTTGCTTTTATTTAGGTTTCTGATCGTGGCTGATCTAGTTCGATTTGGATCAAGCCCAATATTATATAGGCTTATTCCTACTTTTTGAAGGTCAGATATCATGTGGACTTGGGCCATGACCAACCCCGTAATTTTTATTTTATTTATTTATTTATTTGATTGAGTTTTTGCTAACGTATTAATTTTGATTTTGATTTCTATTTTTATTAAATCACAAATAACTAAAAGGAAAGACGACGTACTTGTTTGAAGGAGACAACGTGGCTTTAATTTTTGGGTTTTTTATTTTATTTTTTAAAATGGTTGTAAATTTACATCTTAAATTGGGTGTGTGATTGTAATTTGGTAAGTAAATTATGAGTTTAAAGAGATATTGATGATTTAATAAAAAAATAATATGGGTACAGAAAGTAAGTTACGTGCAGAGTGAAATTATATTGATGACTGATAGCATAGTATGGAAATCCGAAGCATACATGACATGATGAAAATAATGAATTCAAAATAATTAGGAGTATTGTTCAATAAGATTTTGTGTTTTAAAACAATTTGAAAACTTAGACGATCATAATCTTCAAAGGCCGTGGAGAATATGTCGACGTTTTATATCTAGATAAGTAAAGAAGTTGAACGTAATCTCATACGTACAACTATAGAATAAATATATTATTTAATCAGTTTTTCAATTTGATCCAAATTAATATGTTTTCTTCAGTAACTACTAGCATTTGCCTACACATTTTGTGTGTGAAAGAACACTTTTATTATTAAAATAATAATAATAATAATAATAATAATAATAATAATAATAAAAGGGGGAAGGAAAGAGGGAGAGACAACATAGGTAAGAGTGCGAGGTTTTTGTTTTGTTTTTTTTTTAAATATTAAAGATATCTTAACATTACTTGTAGATGAGGGTTCAATAAAAAATAGTAAAATTTGGATATGTAAAATTACATTGTTACTCATCATTTTTTTTGTGTTAAAAGATTAAATAGTCTTTTTACCATCTTTTGGTAGTTTAGATTATTAACGAGAAGCCGCAAAACAAAGATTTATTATATGAATACAAATATGTAGAGAAACTCGCAGAACAATTCATTAATATATATATATATATATATATGAAATAATAAAACTCTTGCACGTACGACTTGAGAATTAGAAGCAAACGTACGGTTCGATTCGAGCCAAGTAACATATAATATATATCCAGCTACAGATATTCTGATTGTAAAGTTAATTTTTGAACCAAAAGAAATATATAGTGATCAAAAGTCGATAGGTGGTAGCATAGTCTTCAAGGGCAGGATCATCGGATAATACACTGCATCAATTAACTCCTTCTCTAAATAACCATAGCCTTCGTCCTCATCTTTTTAATGTAGATAATATCGTTTGTTAAAAAAAAAAAAAATTCTAATGCAAGCAAATTGATACAATTTCGTAATTGAGTCCGTAGCCCATTTTGAAAACATCTCACTAGGCCCAAGGACGAGGAGAAGCCTAATAATTTCTTTCTCGCCCAAAAAATTAAAAAAATTGAAATTTAAACTACTACCAGCAGCCAGCCTTATGTAGGGCTGGGCATTTAAATAAAAAAAAAACCAAGTAAACCGTCTGAACCGTGCGGATGGCTTGTTTTGTTTTGGTTTTATTTTATTTTATTTTATTTTATTTTATTTATGATGGTTAAATTGGATCACACCGATCATAATCAATTTGGTAATTGATTTTCAAATTTTTTAGAGTGTAGTTAATTGAACCGATATGTATATATTTAATTTAATTTTTTAATTATAATTAATATGTGTAATGATATAAATGATTAGTTATTTGCAAGTTACCATGTTTCACCACCTGAAAATAAAACGTGATTAGATTAAGAGTCCCCATGTAGTAATATAAATCAGTTCTCAAAACTTTTGGGCTGCTTCATTTATGTTTTTTCTTGAGTAATCATTCATTAATTCTACGTTGTGAAGCTTTTGAGAGAAAAATTTGTTACGTATTTTCATCTTCACATAAATTAAGAACTGACCCAAATCAATCCATTGCTCTTGATTAACCGACGTGATCGATTTTAAACCTAATTTAGTTGATTTTAATTTGCAATTTTGACCCAACCCACTAAGTTGGTTTGGTTTCGATTTTGGCTCCAAGCAGACACCACCCAACCCACGCCCACCGGCACCGCTAGCCTTACGCTTCATTCCTAAGCCTCCACGGCGACAATTATCCCGGGAAACCACCAAACCGCCGTTTTTCTATCCACCGAAAACAAGTTTCGACAAGGAAACTCGACAAAAAGAAACGTGCTTTTCCCTTCCATTCTCCAATTCTAAATTCCCCGAAAGCTCAAAGTCGGTGATTTTCCAATTCCCCGGCGAAGCTTCTTCACAATGCAGAAGATGGCGCAGGAATGGTTTTCGCAGATAAGCAGCGGCGTCGATGACTCGCAGAAGCCGTCGTCGTCGTCCTTGTTAGCGGATTGGAACTCCTACGCCGCTTCACAGTCTACGGACGAGAGCTCCTCTTTGGGACTTGGATTCGATCTCGAATCTGCGGTCCGTTCTGCTAACGACACCGTTTCCGGAACTTTCAGCGTGTACGTTCGTATCTGGTCATAGTTTTTTGCTTAGTTAACTCAGCATTTTAGTTACTGTGTAGTTATTTGTTGGAGATTTTGGTAGTGAGTTTTTTAATTTCTGTGTTTTTAAGTGATCTGATGATTGGGTTTTCGATTCAGTGCATATTGAGGTGAACTTGATCATGGGTTTGGGTATTTTTGTATAAATAAGTGAATCTGATATTGGATTAATGATATTTATGTATATTTTTGGTGAATTTTGTATGGGGCTGTTTATGTTTATGTTTGTGTAAATGACAAAATGTTGAGGTGAATCTGATATGGAGATTTTGGTTTTTAGGGGTTTAGGAGCTGTTGAGTCTGTAGAATAAGCTAATTTCTTGACCCGTTTCGTAAAATTTGCATTAGGGATTAGGTATGTAATGTGATGACGGGCATCTGATTTCTGTGCTTGGATCTGTGATTAGTATTTGATTGAGTGCATCATACTGGTTATGATGTTTCATATGCTGATTTAGGGTCTATGAATTTCCTTCTGAGTCCTGACTGTATGATTGGACTATAGTTAAACGAAGAGCTTCCAAGCTATGTGAGTTATAGGATTAGTGGAGGGTCCTGGCCGAGGTATTTACGAAATGAGAATTAGCTCATAGCAGAGTGTATTTAAGTTAGTAGAATGCGTAACTGAATATGTGTGCCTCAGCTTCATATGATTAGAAAAAAGCTTGCAAAATGCGCAATGGTTTTTTAGTAGTAGATCTAAAGTTCTTAAATTTCACAATTCACAAATAACTCTAAGCAAGACTAAAATCCAACAGTTATTTCAATAGTTGTGTTGTTCCTTCATGATGGGCAGAAAGGTTATCCTAGTAATGTGGCATATAGACATAAATCAGAAGTTAGGGAAGAAGAGGAGTGGGGGGCGCAGGGAACGCATATTGCTTTTTCTTGTTGTTCTGTTGTTCTATGGAATGATTTTTCAGATTGTAAACATCTAACTGGTTAATCATTTTTAAATATAAATTCACTCCCTTTCTTTGCCTGAAACATATCATTCACCGAGTACCCTAGTTTTGTGTAGTTTGCCTACACCCGCTGAATGGACAAGTTTGAGACGAAAGTTAATATTGATTTGTTTTCTGGGATTTTATTTTATCTCAGAATTGCTGCGGTCTTTGTTTGAATTTTTCGGTTCCTGTGTAGGGTTTCCAAAGGAGTGAGAGATATACCTGGGAGCCTCCAGTCTGCTACTAGTAATGTCCCTTCAGGAAAAGCTCTCATGTATTTTGGCTTGTTTCTAGCAACGGGGGTGTTCTTTGTTTTTATCGCATTTATCATGTTCCTTCCTGTCATGGTGTTGATGCCTCAGAAGTTTGCTATCTGCTTTACGCTTGGGTGTGCCTTTATTATTGCATCCTTCTTTGCACTCAAAGGTCCAAAGAATCAGCTTGCTCACATGTCTTCAAAAGAGGTAACTTGATTGCATATGTACCTATTCAGTTGTCTTTGTAACCTGTCGCACTGCCTAATTTACTTGTCTGATGATGTACTTTTTTTTCCACGATGTATGCAGAGACTTCCATTTACTGTTGGATTTTTAGGCAGTATGGTGGGTACCATATATGTATCCATGGTGCTCCACAATTACATTCTATCTGTTGTCTTCTCTGTGTTACAGGTATCTAATTCTTTTCCATCGTTACAATTTACTATTTGATTCTTTTTCCACCTGGCTGATGATTCTGCTTTTTAAATCTGTTTCGACATGTCTTACTTGCCTGGATATTTGTTTTCAAATATGATGATTAACGAAGAGTGTTAATTGTCCTATCAGACACTGAACTTGTGTGCAAATGAAAACTTTCAGGTTCTGGCACTTGCTTACTATGCTGTTTCGTACTTTCCTGGTGGATCTGCGGGTTTGAAGTTCCTATCTTCTGCCCTTACATCTTCCGTAATGAGATGTTTTGGGAGGTGACTCTGACGTCTTTGTTGCCTTGTATATTTCTTACGATTTTTGGTCAGTCTAGTATGGCCTGAGGCATTTTCTTGAGTGGAAGCTGTCATGTTAAAAAATTTCAGGGTTTAATTCTTTGTGAAACATCGATTTTAGATCAATTCGCAGAGAAAACTGCAATGCGTTTCCCGCAAGGTATAAATGAAAACCGAAGCAACGTCTTGCGTGATGAAGCCTTGGAGGGAAGATTTTGTTGAATGCTGAATTGTGAAATTCTAACTGAGAAAACAGGCTCTGCTATTTATTGTTTACATGTGAGCTTCGATCTATCATAAGCTGGGTTAAATATGCGTCCCATTGAAGATCTTCAATTGGCTATTGTTTTGCTTCAGTAGTCTTGGCCTTGTAACTGCAGCCTGATGTTTGACATCTGAAAATTTTCAGCAAGAAATACTCTTGGCATATTCCTTTTTGGAACCTTGTAGTTTTCTCGACCAACTAATTTAACCCACGTTACATCTATCAAAGAGAATGTAGAGAAGGGTTGGACTAGGTCGTGCTAGAAAATTAGGCTTGACAATATCTTGCATGACCTGTTAAATTGATAGGAAACGACACGAAAATAACAGACTTTAAGTTAACCTTAATGAGTTGGGTCATTATCAGTTCATCCGTTAACATATTGGACATTATCAGATCACCATTTAAAAACCCAATAAGATATCGTTTGCCAAATTTAGGTATTAAACATGATAATTTTTTGCATAACCTATAACCCCATATGAAACGACACGGCCCGTTAACAAATTGCGTAGTTATTGGATCACCTATTAAGAATCCATTAAGATAACGAGTTTGACACGACACAACCTGTTAGGATAACAAGTACGACACAAACTATTTGCCAAGCTTAGGTTGGAAAGTTTTGCCGTGAATTTTCATGTTCATGAAGCCAAAGTTCTTATAAAGCTACGTATCTATGATGAAGTACTCAAATTCGAATCTCCCTTCCGTGAGTTAAGAGTTGTTTAGATCTGTCGCGTCATCAACAAATAAAAAATGCTTTCCAAACTCCTGTATATGCTTGAAGAAGATGCAAGCGTCTCGGAAACCACCTTTGAGATTTGTTGAGAGGCTCCTCTCACATGGAGACATGACATCGCCATTTTTCTTTGGGTTGAAAGGTCTGTTTTTTAGGCCCGAACATTGTTTAGACGAAATTTGCAAATCATGTAATGTATCTACTGATAGTCTAATCATCAACAATCATATCATATGGTTTACTAAATATAATTTAAATATATAGTCTTTTTAGCACTAACTGTACAATTATAAATCCTCAAACCGTCATTTTCTCATCCATTTGAGTAATATCATGTGATCACATTGGTTAGCACATCTCTTCTAAATTGAAATTAATAATACATAGTTTTTCTTCCAAGTCTATTCATCAGACAATGTTTTTGTACACATTAGGTTTGAAGAAATAACATATTTACACATCATTTGGTGAACAAAACTTGAAAAAAAAAATTAATTTTTGTAGCAATATTCGCAGTGATGTGGAATTACGTGCTTACAAAAGCTAGATCATACGTGAAATTTGCCACGGTCAAAGATTTGATCAATAAATATAGTATAAATAGTTTCATTGGACGATCAAATTCTAAAGATATAAAAGCCGAGCGCGTTCGGAACCTTATCACACAAATTTTGACCGTTAAGGGTTGGTTTAGGATCGCTACACGTGGTGCTTTAGGTAAAGAAGCAAGTTTTATAAGCAACAATCATCTGCCTAACACCCATTGTCCCTCTTTTAATGTAATTAAAAACTATGACTAAAAAAATGGTTTAAAAAAAGTGTTCAAACAACCAAATCCAGGAATCCAGGAAAGATGGTGACAGAAAAATGTAACTTGGGACAAGGATTTGACCTTTGATATGGAGATTATGCAAGAAGATGCATTGTACACGATAAAGCCTTTGTTTTTTGTATTGAAAAAAATTATTGGGAAACGAGAAGGGCCATCTTCTCCACCAAGTAAACACAAAGCTAAAAACAAAGAGGCAGAGTGTGATGGGTTTAAAGATCAAATGGCATCATCACAAATATATCAAGGCAGACACAAAAGGCTAATCAGGCCAAGTTAGTGTTCCAATGATGGTTTAATTAATTTGGGAATGTGAGGACAAAATCTAACGTGGGCGAGAGACAAATTATGCAAGGGCTTATAAGAGGTTGAGGGTATTATCTATAATGCCAATTAGTTTTATGTTGGAACCTCAATTTTTTTCATGGTATCACAACAGGTTGGCTTGCGTGTGAAGCTTAACAACGCCACACATAAAAGGATGTGTGAGAACGTGTGCACAAAGTCCCACATCGATGAGGAACCAAACTATGCAAAACCTCATAAAAGGTTGAGTTACTCCCCAAACTACCAATTAATTTTATGATGACACCTTCACTTTCTTCAATTAATCCGTTTCAATATTTATTGGGTACCTAATCTGACTAGGTAAAGAGTATAAATGAGGAGACAATTCGTCCATCGTTAGCCGATTACTAAAGCTAGCAATGATCATAGTTGAGGTTGGATGGTAGATTATATCGCAATTAAAAGTGACAAAAAACATGGTTAGATGCTTGATTGAGTCAATTTTGTCAGTGTATAAGTGCAACCTCAATTATGCACTCCAAATTCCAATAGTTTGACGGTAGAAAGCCAAAGTTTGTGAAAAACAAAGTAGTTAAGAGTCTGTTTGGTATTTAACTTGAATTCAACTTTTTTAACTCAAAATTAATTTTTGAGTCTCAAGCCTAAAATTCTTATTTGGTATGATTATTTTGAAAATATGAACTCAAAACAACTTGAAATATAGCTTATCTCATGAAAACATAAAAAGTTTGTTTTTAAAATTTATAAAACTAAAAACTTACTCTTATCTCCCTTTTTTTGAGAGAGATTTTTCAATGTGATCCAAACACGAGTGATACAACACGTGTCACTATATAAATGGTGATATATGTGTGTTAAAAGTTAATAACTTAAATTATAAAATTTTCCACCACTTATATAAAAATATGTTATGTACTACTGTATTCCGGTTACAATGAAAATTTTCTCATTTTTTGAATCCTGTTTTCTCCAACCCATCCCTCTCCATTGTCTTCTCTCTCCCATCTCTTTCGCTTTTCTATGTTTTATCTCTTTATCTCTCTGTCTCCCCGATCTCTTCTGATCTCCTCTCTCTCGAACCCCTCTTTGCCTCTTGCCGTTCTCTGTTCTCTCCCTTTCTTTTAACTTTTTCTGTCTCTCTCTAGGTCCTCTGCCTTGGGCACTAGTAGAAAAGAGGAAATTGGGGAGTTGCTGGCAGATTTTTTTTTTTTAAATTGTTAGCACTTAAAAACAATTTTGACTCATCTCAAAAAAGTTTTTGAGTTTTATAAAAAATTGTTCTTAAGAGGTGCTCTTAAGAAATATTTTTAAAATTTATGAATATTTTTTGTAAGATACCAAATAAGCACTAGATTTTTTTTTCTGTTATTCAATGAAACTAATTTCATTACATAAACTCTAACATTATATTGGAATTGTAAAACATATAATAAAAACTGCACAAACTACATTGGATAAATGTCACACAACTAAAAATCTTATATCACCAAAATTTAATTTTATCTCAAACCAAGCCCAAATACCCTAGAAAACAAAACTCCCAAAACAACCCAATCCTAAATCGTGAGATGTGACATCCCACATCGTCCAGGAAAGTGATTCTTAAATGTATATTCTCATCCTTACCTAGCACGAGGCATTTTGGGAGCTCACTGGCTTCGGGTTCCGTAGGAACTCCGAAGTTGAGCGAGAAGGGGCTAGAGCAATCCCATGATGGGTGACCCACTGGGAAGTTGCTCGTGAGTTCCCAAAAACAAAACCGTCAGGGAATGATAAGCCCAAAGTGGACAATATCGTGCTATGGTGGTGGAGTAGGCCCGAGAAGTGATCCGTCTCGGGCCTGGATGTGACATGAGAACTATCACCACCACTTGAAGCAATGACACCAACGCTCTCTCTACATCTGCTCAATAAAACATTATGGGGGAAGAGATATTAATAAAGAAAACATGTCTCTGGTGATCGAATTGCGCTTAATAGTGATTCCTCCAAAAGTGTGGTAGCACTAATTTTAGAAAAATAAACAAGTTTAGAGAGGGTTCTTAAGGGAGAATTTAATTTTATAAAAATAAAACAAGCTTAGAGAGGGTTCTCAGGGAAGAATTGGATTTTAGGACGTAAAGAAAAGGTGATTGAAACAAATATCCAATAAGTTATAAGTTTTCAATCAAAAGAAGATTGTGAATATCTTGTTTTTATTTGTCTCCATAAGATTTCCATACAATAGTTCAATACTATTTTTGCTTCTCTTTTAATTTCTTTCACCTAATGCTAATACCAGCAGACAATATTATGATTACGTACTACAAAAAATTCTCATCATTGAGCAGCACAAATTAAATTACTTTTTCTTTTTCCAAATGATTAGACTTATTAAGTCAGCATGATAACATATTGTATTCTAGTCTTATCAATATTTTTCTCCTTTTAGACGGCTGTAGACCGTACAGATTTAATAGAAGAGATCTATGAAAAATCTTTTTGATCAATCATAGACATTATTATTATTGAGATTAATAAAATTTTGGAACTATACATCTATATGCCTATATATAATAGCGTGCATGGTGTAGTAATTTTATAAAGAAAATTCCTTTTGTTTTAGACGGTCTTTAGAGATTATAGTTTGTAAAGATAGAGATTATTGAGATTAAATCTCACATTGATGAAAAAAATGTCTTATATTAATTTATACGTAAGCTACTCCACATATTAATAATTAGTTCTATGGCACAACCTTAACTTTCTTAAGATATCACCTATGACAGATCTCGTTGGATCAATGATGATAGACCTTATTGTTATTCTGAGACTGAAAAAAAAAGGGTTCTAACAAATTTTAAGAGCCAATGACAAAAGGTCTATGCCCTCTAGGGTCCACTTGTGCAATTTCAAAGAAAATGTCTCTCACTATCAATCATATTCTCTGATATTCTCGCTCAGCAATTCAGCACAAGTATGAAGGATAGGAAGCCATTTATATGCATGTTCATTTTCTTGGTTTGCTAAAGGTTTGGAAAATATAAAGAGTAATCTTATGTGGACTAAATTTAAAGATTAAAATTATAAATTAAATGATGTGTCACAAATACAAATGAGCACGTCTTTCAACGTTATGTAATAAACCAATTATCAACTTACATGTTCTTTAATTTACAAAATTTAGTTTACCTAACATTACTCAAATATAAAACTATGAGCCAATTTTTTAAGAGGGATTCCGCTCCAGTATTTATAGGGTGAGATCCATAACATTTTCTTATTGTCCGAAATGTGATTGTGTATTAC